CAAGAAAGAAAGAACAAGAAAGAAAAAAAGGAATACTACTTTACAATCAGTTTTTTTAAACTTAATATACCACAAATGTTATTCTACTGTAATAAAGAGCAAATCATCATTTTTAGTGTCTAATAGTTCACTGAATCATCTCTTTTGGGCTATGCTGCTCTTCTTCTTATATAAATTCTAAACACTATTGTAACTTAACCAATCACACTGTTCCCAAATTTTCCTATTGTAAACATGCTGTAATAAACAATTTACATCTGTGTTTAATTGGAGGACATGATATACACGTTTTAGACTTTGATATGCATTGCCAACCTGTGCTCTAGAGAAAGTATACCAATTTGCATTTCTACCAATTGTATTAAACTGCTTGTAGTCCTATATACCCTTGCCTATCTAGGTTTGGGTGGAAAAAAAACCCTCCTTTTACTCCCCTTAATAGTGAAAGGCTTTAGGATCAATTATAAAAGGAAGCTATTTAGCTCAGGTTAAGAAAAAAGTATTTGAGGAAAACAAAACAAACAATAATAAAACGGTGAGGGGGAGAAAATGCCAGGATCCAAATACGTGGAAATTCCCCTTCAATTGGGAGCTGGGTTTTTCGTCACCCTGCTCACTCTTCCTTCTCATTTGTTTGTTTCGTTGCATTTGTTATGTTTGACTTTTTAGTCATCATCTTTGGTAAGAAGGGGAAGGAGGGAGCTTATGATACAGGAAATGCTCCAATAAAGCATCTATGTATTTGACAACTGAGAACCGGCTCCCACCACCACACCAAGCTCTACTGAGTACAGTTTTGACAAAAATGGAAAACAACACTTTCAACTGTCTTAGCTCCAAAATGACAACAACTAAACTGTTTGCTCTGACTTCTGTGGCCACTGGCCAATTTTCATAAAAGCCAGTATCCACAATGATTCAATATAATCAAAACCTCAGACTGCTTTACCCTAACACACCAAATGTGACAAAGATAAAAAAATACCCATCACAGGAGTTTACCTAACACAGTATTCGAAACCAAAGGCTTAGGCAGCTTTAGATGTACTTTACATCTTAGATAGAATAGATTCTTTATATCAACCAGATAAAAATAATTCACTTTATGTTTTCTTTACATGAACCAGTCAGAATGCCTCCAGGAACAGAATAATAGAAGCTGTAAAAAGACAGTAACAAAAAGTTTAGATCAGGGGTGCCCAATCTTTTGGCTTCCCTGGGCCACATTGGAGGAAAAATTATCCTTGGACCACACAAAATACACTAACATTAATGATAGCTGATGAGCTAAAGAAAAAAATATCGCCAAAAAATCTCAAAATGTTTTAAGAAAGTTACGAATTTGTGTTGGGCCACATTCAAAGCCATCCTGGGCCACAAGCGTCCTGCAGGATGTGGGTTGGACAAGCTTGGTTTAGACAATGCTTTCCTTTCTGAACAATGGTTTAGAGATCCTTCCAGTGTCCACAGAAAGGGCTATGAATCCAACAAGCAAAAGATCACTATTAGCTTTATATTTATAAAATGTAGTATTACTTCAGACCAAGTTGCTGGTCCAGATGGAATAAAAAAGAAAAGTGCCACCCCTGTGCAGCAGCATCAGTGTCCACACTGAGTAAAAACCTGCCCAGGGGACTTGGGCACCTGCCAATCCTCTTCCCCACCACTACACTTAACTCACTTTTGCTCTAATCCTGTGGTCATTTACTGAACAGATACTATTATTTACATGACATGCTATTTCAGAGGCTGAGCGGCTATAATGAACAGAAGTAAAAGATAGAAACTAAATTCCTCAAATTCTAGCAGGGAAGGCAGAACACAAATAAGTATAAAAGTTAATAAATGAGATAATTCCAGGTAGTAACAAGTGTTACACAGACAAGAACACAGAGGATGTATTAGTGGCTTGGTGGGGAGAAGAAAGCTTCATTTAGGTGGGATAATCAAGAAAGGCTTGTCTCAGGAGGTGATATTTGAGCTAGACTTTGAATAAGAGAGAGTCCATCATGCAATCATCCGGGCGAACAATATTCAGGCAAAGGGAATAGCAAAAGCCAAAGAATGGATGCAGGGTGTTTGAGGAAAAGAGGGCTAGAGTGGCCGGAGTCCAGTGACTGAGGGGAAGAATGAGATGAGGCAGGAAGAGGCCAGATTACCATAGGACCTTGAAGGCCACAGCAGAGCCTGAATTTGATTCTAGAAATAGCTGAAAACTATTAAAGAGTTTAAACTAGGAAGTGATATGGCTGGAATTAAATAAATAAATAATTCATCCATTCATTTACTCATTTATTTGAGACAGGATCTCGCTCTGCCACCTAGGCTGGAGTGCAGTGGCATAATCTCGGCTCACTGCAGCCTCAACCTCCTGGGCTCAAGCGATCCTCCCACCTCAGCCTTCCAAGTATTTGGGACTACAGGCATGTGCCACCATGCCCGGTTAATTTTCGTATTTTTTTGTAGAGACAAAAATCACCCTGCTGCCCTGGCTGATCTCGAACTCCTGGACTCAAGGGCTCCTCCTTCTTGATTATAGATGTGAGCTACAACGCCCGGCATGATTTAAATTTTTTAAAAAACTACTATGATGGCAACATGGAGAATGGACTATAGCAGACCACAGTGGCAACAGGGACACCAATGGCTACTGAGACAGACTATATGAGAGATGCTAAAGGCTTGGGTTTGGGTGCTGATGGGAACAGAGAAGAATGGCCAGAGTCAGAGTACATTTCAGAGGTGAGCTGACATGGCCTGCTGCTGAATTAGATGTGGAGGGTGGCAAGGGACTGTGGAGGATGAGGGCAAAACAGGGAAATCAGGATTACTTAATGCTGGGCCCTGAGCAACAAGATGGATAGTAGTCCCATTAACTGATATGGGGAACACTTGGAGAAGAAGGGATGTGGAGAGTAGGAACAACCAAAGGTTCTGTTTGAGGTGTGCGAGGTACCCTTGATCACAGGTGTGAGCTATATCTAACAGCGAGAGTAAGCTGGGTGTAAACAGCCTATTGATGATCAGGTGAGAAGAGGCAGAGGGGCCAGCAGAAGGGATGAGGGGAGCACTCAGCGAGGACTGAGGATCTTCAGAAGAGGCTGAGGTGAAGAGATAGACAGAAGACAATGCTTTAAGGAGTAATCAACTGTGTCAAACACTGCTGAAGACTGAATAAGGTAAGGAAAAAACCTGACAAGTGGATTTTGCAAGACAAGAGAACATTAATAAAGAAATAGGGTGGGCCAGGCGTGATGGCTGGTAATCCCAGCACTTTAGTAGGAGGCCAAGGTGGGTGGATCGCATGAGGTCAGGAGTTTGAGACCACCCTGGCCAACATGGGGTTTCAACCCCATCTCCACTAAAAATACAAAAATTACCCAGGTGTGGTGGCCTGCACCTGTAATCCCAGCTACTTGGAGGCACGAGAATTGCTTGAACCTGGGAGGCAAAGGCAGCCTGGGCCACAGAGCGAGACTCTGTCGCAAAAAAAA